GATTCGGTTAGCGCCCGTTATTTGGCGACGCTGCTGCTGTGTTGGTAGCGGTGCGCGAGCACGATGAACGAACTCGACACGTGCATCAACAGCACTCGCCTTACAAGGAAAAATAATGTAACGTGTTGTGCGGAAGGGCCATTACCTGGAACGTTACCCCGTTCTAGTCGTTTTCCTTTTTTACAGACAATGTTATTGTCCGTAATGTGTGGCGTTTGCAATGAACCCATTGAAAGCCGTGAAACAACATTGCCTCTTGCCAGGGTGATTTGGGTGCGTCTAGAGCAATTAAGTATGCATTTTTATGGGGACATTGTAATGCAGCAGCATTTGTTTAACGAGCCTGACTTGATGCGACCTAGATTGTCGAAACCTGGTCGACAGTTTGTTCGCTTAAGCAAATGCTGCTGGATAACATTGGTCTGGAAAGCCAAGAGAGGCTAATGGACTATAACGTCCATTTATGTTTGTTTAGTAACACTTGATGTTTTTGGAGGCAGCTTAAAACACAAGTCTCCAATAGTTTTAGGATTGATGCTTGAGGTTCTTAGAGCCAAACTTAGATACCCTTAGGATGGTGTAGGCTTTGTTAATGCGCCTGGTTCTTTAAGCCAGGCTAAAGGCTGCTTTTATTTGAGGGCTCATTGTGCCACACCAAGGGCTCTCTAGGCCCAGTACCCGCGTAGCTGTGTTGATGAACTTGACGTCGGATTCCCAATCACTCCTCTATGAGTGAGAACGTCTTCTGAGCAGCAACGTGGTTTGTGTGCCCCCCCCCCCCCCCCCTTGGTCCACTGAAACCGGCTACCCGAGTTTGATTCCCGTTCTGGAACAACATCCGTGACATTTCAACCATTCCTGGGTCTCCCCTATGGCGAATCAGCCTTAAAAAGATTACCTGGTGCGGTGTGTCAATATCACGAGGGAGACAAAGGTGGCCGGACATGGTGCTGGCCACCCGCAACTTCATGAGCTGCGTTGGGCTTCATGGATGCTCGCTAACAGCACTTGCCCCAAAAATATTTTAAATGTTATGGGGGGAATCTTTGTTTTGATAGTAGTATATAGTGACGTTAATGATGGTGGTTAGTGATGATGATGGTTGTAGTGGTAGCAGTGGCACTGACGCTAACGATGACGACGACGATGATGGTGTTGATGCACAACACAGGTGGACGATAACAAGAAGCTTGGCGAGTGGTCGGGGCTCTGCAAGATCGACCGCGAGGGGAAACCACGCAAGGTGGTCGGATGCAGCTGCGTGGTCGTGAAGGTACGCAGGACAAGTGGGCCTCTGCAGCCCAGCGTGTCATCACGAGCGTTGTGTTCTTATGTGTGTAGGCGCGTTATGCGAGTTCACGTTTGTGTGTGTGTGTTGGTGCACGCTCATTTGCGAGTTCTCCTGTAATGTAACGGACGGGTGCGTCCCAGCATGTCATCATGAGGATTTTTGCATGTTTGTGTTTTTTCGTACTGGGGAGTGTTAGCGTAATGCGCTACCAACATATCGAGCTGAGTTCTATTCACAGCCCAGACTTAACAGTGATGTCCAACCAGGCTCTGGGCCTCCGTAGGTCGACTGCCTTGAATGAGTGCTACCTGGTGTTGCGTTTGTTAACATCGGTACTGCTGTGCGACACCACTACGCCCCTCAAACCTGCGCCGTGCCGGCCTTCATAGGCGCTCGCTATAACAGCACCTGCCCCAAACGGCCTGTGTGGGCTACATGGGTGATCTTTGTATTGGTGTTCTCGCGTGCGCTTCCCCGTGCTCCCTGCAGGACTACGGCAAGGAGACGCAAGCCAAGGACGTGCTGGAGGAGTACTTCAAGGGCAAGTGAAGCTCTTCCTGCTCCTCTTGCATCGTCCCTACGATCGCGATGGAACAATAAAAGTGTCACTCAACCTGCCGCCGTCTCCCTCCTGTTTTTGTTTAGCTCCTCGAACCGCATTGCACAACCTCATGAACGCCACAAATTATCTGGTGGGTGCGTAAGCACAAACGACGAGACGCAACACGTTCGTCAAAAACATCGTGGCCTAACAAGGAAATATACGTAATTGGTCACGTTTCAGGCAATGGTACGTCTCCATGGAACAAATGTGAGAATGACCATTGCCTGGAAACCTCAACTATCGAATGATTTTCTTTTCAAGGGCAAGGTGTTATGAGTTTATCATTAGAGATAATGGGATGGTCACATCAACTCCCTTTGATAATGGTGGCCTAAATGATAATAGTTATTTTGAGCTGGTGCCGTAGACAAGGCTGAGAACATTAAGTGCAATTTGGTTGCACAGAATGCAGGTGGATGTGAGTTGTCTGTGAGCAGCACACCTTTGCATGCGTGTGGTAAAAATGCAGAGCAGCCATATTACCGTAACGTGTTTCTAAATGTGGAGGGAGGACCCGGAGGAAAAAAATCTGCACAACCGTGGTGAAAACATACAAACTCAAAATATACACGACTTGTACTCTGGTTAAATTTCGATTTAAAGCTTTCGTGACTGCAATGATTCATCTTCTTTGGTTCTTTCGGTAAAGTCATGTAGAATGATAATAAAATAATAAATTGATAAAATAACAATATTCTCACGACGTTTCGGCCACAACCTGATGAAGGCCGCTTGTGTTGTGGCCGAAACGTCGTGAGAATATTGTTATTTTATTTTATCAATTTATTATTTTATTATCATTCTACGTGACTTTACCGAAAGAACCAAAGAAGATGTACTCTGGTTCTTTTGTTGAAATCACGTAGGTAGAAAAAATAATAGATCACGACATTTCGATTGCAACAAGCGGATCTCTCATCTCTCCCCCAGTATCTCACGTATGCCCCCCCTGCCTTCGCTCTCCCCCCCCCTACCGCCGATATCTATATATCCTTGTGTCACGGCAGCTCTCGCCTACTTAAAGCAGTTTTCTTGCAGTAGTTTTTCTTGCTGTAGTCACCTGATGACGATTGCTTGTGTTACGATCGAAACATCGATCTATTTTTTCTACCCACGTGACTTGACCGCAAGAACCAAAGAGTATGGGTTCCTGCAGTCACGAAAGCTTCAAATTACCAGGCAAGCAGTGGCGGCTCGTGACATTTCCACTAGGAGGAGCCGTTTTGATCTGAAAATTTGTTTTAAGAAAAACCTCTTATTGGCCTTACCGTGAAGGTGATACAACTCTTATCTACCAACGGTAAGCATTTATAAACAAAGCATTCAAATGCTGTCACCATGACAATCGAGGCCACACCATATATGACCTGCGAATTGCACAGTGCAACCTAGCGTTGTGACATCGTCATTGCAGCCATGGGCGACTTCTTCATCGCCCTGAATGGGTCGCAAACGGCGTGGCTACAATGCGAAGCTCATGGCGATGAATGAAGATATCACTCGGACGCCTACACAGCCGCTCCGAGAACTCGCCTGAGACACATCAGACTTGCAGCTGTTTCTCATTAACTTACATGTTCTCTCCATGAGAAAATTCGCTTTGAAAGAATCATATTTTTTTAAATGCAACAACATTTTTATAGAGAAGTATTTTTTTATTAGAAAAATAATTTCTCATTTCCAGCTGCTTGGTGAGGCAATGCCCCTAGTGGACGGACCTCGCCTGCAGGCGAGGGAGTTAACTTGTGAATGGTCGGTGCGAGGAAGTGTTCACTGACATGCGTGTTCATTATCAAGATCAATAAATCGTGACCAAAACCGTTTGCCAACGCTGTTGAGTGGGAGGTAACATTGAACACGTGGATTGTCAATACCTCAAAGTATGGGTTATCTAAAAAAATAGAATGTGGTTGGTCAAGTTTTGGTTTCACACCGCCCTTAAAATTAGGATGGTCGATAGTAGAATCTACCCCGGGGGGCCAAGCAGGGCCAGGGGGCGGGGCTAATGATTGCATTCGTTGAGTGTCGTGCTGGCTTTGGTACGACTTCTGCATAGCTTGGCAGCGCAGTTGGGAAAAAAGGTCATTAAAGACCTATATTTAGTAGGAATACCAGAAAAATTACTTGATTTTTTTCTTCTCAGGAATAGCAGCCAAGATGATGTCCACTACTGATGAAGCAATACAATTTGAGCTCACACGCTGGATCTAAATGCGTTGCATCCCACCCACGCATATTTCATGCTCGGAGCCTGAATTTATCCAAATTAAGCGGAAAACCAACTTTTGGAATTTGCATGTTCTCTCTCCCCCGTGGTCGTGTGGATTTTTCTCCGAGTCCTCCGGGTTTTCCCTCCTCCACATTTACAAACATGCGTTTAGAGTATACATTTACACGTGATAACACCACTTAGTTGAGCTCTCATTTGTGGCTTGGTCGCTTCTGAACATTCGGTGGGCCTTACCTTATAAAATTTAAAAAAGTTCAGAACATTAACTCGCTGCACTTTAGAGCCAGGTTTCGGGACAAGCCAACCTGGCCAACACGGATGGTCATGTTGGTTTTGACCTTGAGTTCACGCCGCATTGGTTCGAGCACTGCTTAAAGTCACGAGCCAATTTAATATCCCAGGAGCAGCTGAATATTAGTCATAAAACTAACAGGGCTCCTACAAACACGGCCTGGCCTCTTGATGCCTGAGTGGTGAGTTTGTTGGTGCGTGTTAGAGAACCTGGGTTAAAATCCAGCAAAACATTGCATTTTGTTTGAACAGTCCATAACCGTTTGAGGCAATCATACAGCAGTGGATGAATCAAGGCTGATGACATTTTTCATTCATACCCAAGATACGTACAGGACATCTGAACACAAAAGCTTTATAGCTCATCGGATTCCTCCAGAAACACCGGTGACGAATATCTGAACCGGTCCTGGGCCTCCCCCTAGGTCGACTCAGCCTCAAATGAGTACCTGGTGCGGCGTGCAGTAAACATCGCCTTTGTTAAGGCGTTACGAGGGATCTTTGTCTCCTCCTCCAGCAGCTAACACGGATGGTGATGAGGAGATGGTGATGAGATGACACGGGAGATGATGGGAGGGAAGAAAGGTGGGAGAGAGAAAGAAACCTTTCACGTTTTGGTGGTGGGGTTTTTTTAAAATTAATTTCACACACGGGAGCTTTTTTCGCGCTGTATAATTTAAACAGCTGGCCACGAAAGGGCGATTCTGCAGTGTTAACGCCGTTTTACCAAATGCAGAAATACGGGAGGGTGGGGTTCAGGCCGAGTTGAACGCAAAATGTGAGTTAATACCTCGGTAAACGACACAAAAACGACGCTAAACCGGCTTGAATCTGACATATGAGGTTAAAATATCCCACCAGAATGCGCCTCGTGGAACTCTGGGTGCTGTTTCCATTGATAAGACCCACAATTTTTTTCTATCGCAAAATCACATCCCCCCACCCATCACATCCCTCCCTCTTCGACTCATCACCTCACGCCATAAGCTGCGGAGTTTCCCGGGATCGTCCTCGCGGTGAGTGTGTAGCTGGAGGTCTTCCTGGGACATTACAACGTAGTGTGTTGTGTGTATCTGATGGTGTGTGGTATGCCGAGTGTGTCTGGTAAATGACGAGTGAGTGTGTGGTGAGTGAGTGAGTGGTGTATAGTGAGTGTGTGGTGAGTGAGTGAGTGGTGTATAGTGAGTGTGTGGCGAGTGAGTGGCGAGTGAGTGGTGAGTGTGTGGTGAGTGAGTGGCGAGTGTGTGGTGAGTGGTGAGTGAGTGGTGGGTGAGTGGTGTGTGGTGAGTGAGTGGTGAGTGTGTGGTGAGTGGTGAGTGTGTGGTGAGTGGTGTATAGTGAGTGTGTGGCGAGTGTGTGGCGAGTGAGCGGCGAGTGAGTGGTGAGTGTGTGGTGAGTGAGTGGCGAGTAAGTGGCGAGTGTGTGGTGAGTGTGTGGTGAGTGAGTGGTGAGTGTGTGGTGAGTGAGTGGCGAGTGTGTGGTAAGTGAGTGGGGAGTGAGTGGTGAGTGAGTAAGTGGTCAGTGAGTGGTGAGTGACGAGTGAGTGGTGAGTGTGTGGTGAGTGGCGAGTGAGTGGCGAGTGAGTGGTGAGTGTGTGGTGAGTGAGTGGTGAGTGGCGAGTGAGTGGTGAGTGAGTGGTGGGTGGTGAGTGAGTGGTGTGTAGTGAGTGAGTGGCGAGTGAATGGTGAGTGTGTGGTGAGTGAGTGGTGAGTGTGTGGTGAGTGAGCGAGTGGTGAGTGAGTGGAGAGTGAGTGGCGAGTGTGTGGTGAGTGTGTGGTGAGTGGCGAGTGAGTGGCGAGTGTGTGGCGAGTGTATGGTGAGTGAGTGGCGAGTGAGTAGTGAGTGTGTGGTGAGTGAGTGGCGAGTGAGTGGTGAGTGTGTGGTGAGTGAGTGGCGAGTGAGTGGTGAGTGAGTGGCGAGTGAGTGGTGTGTGGCGAGTGAGTGGCGAGTGTGTGGCGAGTGAGTGGTGAGTGAGTGGTGAGTGAGTGGTGAGTGTGTGGCGAGTGAGTGGTGAGTGTGTGGTGAGTGAGTGGTGAGCGAATGGTGAGTGGTGAGTGAGTGTGTGGTGTGTGGTGAGTGAGTGGTGAGTGAGTGGCGAGTGAGTGGTGAGTGTGTGGCGAGTGAGTGGCGAGTGAGTGGTTCGAGTGTGTGGTGAGTGAGTGGCGAGTGTGTGGTGAGTGTGTGGTGAGTGAGTGGCGAGTGAGTGGTGAGTGGCGAGTGAGTGGCGAGTGGCGAGTGAGTGGCGAGTGTGTGGCGAGTGTGTGGTGAGTGAGTGGCGAGTGAGTGGCGAGTGAGTGGTGAGTGAGTGGCGAGTGAGTGGTGAGTGAGTGGTGAGTGGTGTGTGGCGAGTGAGTGGCGAGTGTGTGGCGAGTGGCGAGTGAGTGGTGAGTGGCGAGTGAGTGGCGAGTGTGTGGCGAGTGTGTGGTGAGTGAGTGGCGAGTGAGTGGTGAGTGAGTGGTGAGTGAGTGGCGAGTGTGTGGTAAGTGAGTGGGGAGTGAGTGGTGAGTGAGTAAGTGGTCAGTGAGTGAGTGGTGAGTGACGAGTGAGTGGTGAGTGTGTGGTGAGTGGCGAGTGAGTGGTGAGTGAGTGGCGAGTGAGTGGTGAGTGTGTGGTGAGTGTGTGGTGAGTGGCGAGTGAGTGGTGAGTGAGTGGTGGGTGAGTGGTGTGTGGTGAGTGAGTGGTGTGTAGTGAGTGAGTGGCGAGTGAATGGTGAGTGTGTGGTGAGTGAGTGGTGAGTGTGTGGTGAGTGAGCGAGTGGTGAGTGAGTGGAGAGTGAGTGGCGAGTGTGTGGTGAGTGTGTGGTGAGTGGCGAGTGAGTGGTGAGTGGCGAGTGAGTGGCGAGTGTGTGGCGAGTGTGTGGTGAGTGAGTGGCGAGTGAGTAGTGAGTGTGTGGTGAGTAGTGAGTGAGTGGCGAGTGAGTGGTGAGTGTGTGGTGAGTGAGTGGTGAGTGAGTGGCGAGTGAGTGGTGAGTGAGTGGCGAGTGAGTGGTGTGTGGCGAGTGAGTGGCGAGTGTGTGGCGAGTGAGTGGTGAGTGGTGAGTGAGTGGTGAGTGAGTGGTGAGTGTGTGGCGAGTGAGTGGTGAGTGTGTGGTGAGTCAGTGGTGAGCGAATGGTGAGTGGTGAGTGAGTGTGTGGTGTGTGGTGAGTGAGTGGTGAGTGAGTGGCGAGTGAGTGGTGAGTGTGTGGCGAGTGAGTGGCGAGTGAGTGGTTCGAGTGTGTGGTGAGTGAGTGGCGAGTGTGTGGTGAGTGTGTGGTGAGTGAGTGGCGAGTGAGTGGTGAGTGGCGAGTGAGTGGCGAGTGGCGAGTGAGTGGCGAGTGTGTGGCGAGTGTGTGGTGAGTGAGTGGCGAGTGAGTGGTGAGTGAGTGGCGAGTGAGTGGTGAGTGAGTGGTGAGTGGTGTGTGGCGAGTGAGTGGCGAGTGTGTGGCGAGTGAGTGGTGAGTGGCGAGTGTGTGGCGAGTGTGTGGTGAGTGAGTGGCGAGTGAGTGGTGAGTGAGTGGTGAGTGAGTGGTGAGTGAGTGGTGTGTGGCGAGTGAGTGGCGAGTGTGTGGCGAGTGAGTGGAGAGTGTGTGGCGAGTGAGTGGAGAGTGAGTGGTGAGTGTGTGGCGAGTGTGTGGTGAGTGGTCAGTGTGTGGTGGGTGAGTGGCGAGTGAGTGGTGAGTGAGTGGCGAGTGTGTGGTGAGTGGTCAGTGTGTGGTGAGTGTGTGGCGAGTGAGTGGCGAGTGAGTGGTGATTGTGTGGCGAGTGAGTGGCGAGTGTGTGGCGAGTGAGTGGCGAGTGAGTGGTGAGTGGCGAGTGAGTGGCGAGTGAGTGGTGAGTATGTGGTGAGTGAGTGGTGAGTGAGTTGCCACCCGTCCTGGGTTTCCCCGGGATCGTCCTCTCTCTGAGGGATCTCTCCGAGTGAATCTCTCTGCCTCCTGTCGGCTCATGAGAAGTCCTGGCGCATTCACGAGAGGCCTCCACTCCTCGCTCGACATCTTCGGGAACGCTGCTGCTATTAAACCGGCTTGGAGTCGGGATTAGCGGCGTAAGGCACTACCACGAGAGTGCAAGGTAGCCCCACCCATAATCACGTGATACATCGTCATACCCTGTATCCCTACACAGTACAGACGAGGAACCCGTCTACATGAAGATGAAATGCCATGAGCTGGATCGTTCTGGTTAATATCAAACACCGGTAACAATATCTATGGAATATTATTGCTAGTATCCAAAATTCTGAAAAATAAGAATTGTTTTTACCCTTTCTGGCAATAGAACAGGAGTTGTTAAGATGTTTAAACACCAAATAGAATTAATTAACCACACGCACTTGTGGCATAACATGAAAAAATGCTCTCATAATAGATGGCATTGTCTTTGAAACTGATTTGCCTGTCACCAGAGACAGCTGCCTTCTTTATTAGACGATTTTTGACCCCCCCCCCCTTTCGTCACACGGCGTCACAAAAAGTCAGACCCCCCCCCCTCAAATATGATGTCACAAAGCTCTGCCCCCCCCCCCCCCCCAAAAAGAATGCTTGAAATCGCTTTAAACTATTGTCATTGTAGTGCGTATTTAATATGGCGCTGCACTCTGATGTTGTAGGAGAAAACATGTATTAAAAAGTCTATTTAATTAAGTAGAACGTGTTGTCTATATTTATTTAAAGTTGCGCATTTTGATTTCTCAAACCCCCCCTCCCATCGTCACAAATATCTGACCCCCTCCCCCCTAGGTGCGTGACGTCATTTATGGACGGCCCCAAAGACAATGCAAGTATCAGAACACTTAGAGCCCGGTTCCAGCAGTTATATCTTTGAAACCGTTTTGCCACGATCCAAAATTATGAAAATAAAAATGTTTACCCTATATGTAACGTGTTGTGCGGAAGGGCCATTACCTGGAACGTTACCCCGTTCTAGTCGTTTTCCTTTTTTACAGACAATGTTATTGTCCGTAATGTGTGGCGTTTGCAATGAACCCATTGAAAGCCGTGAAACAACATTGCCTCTTGCCAGGGTGATTTGGGTGCGTCTAGAGCAATTAAGTATGCATTTTTATGGGGACATTGTAATGCAGCAGCATTTGTTTAACGAGCCTGACTTGATGCGACCTAGATTGTCGAAACCTGGTCGACAGTTTGTTCGCTTAAGCAAATGCTGCTGGATAACATTGGTCTGGAAAGCCAAGAGAGGCTAATGGACTATAACGTCCATTTATGTTTGTTTAGTAACACTTGATGTTTTTGGAGGCAGCTTAAAACACAAGTCTCCAATAGTTTTAGGATTGATGCTTGAGGTTCTTAGAGCCAAACTTAGATACCCTTAGGATGGTGTAGGCTTTGTTAATGCGCCTGGTTCTTTAAGCCAGGCTAAAGGCTGCTTTTATTTGAGGGCTCATTGTGCCACACCAAGGGCTCTCTAGGCCCAGTACCCGCGTAGCTGTGTTGATGAACTTGACGTCGGATTCCCAATCACTCCTCTATGAGTGAGAACGTCTTCTGAGCAGCAACGTGGTTTGTGTCCCCCCCTCCCCCCCCCTTGGTCCACTGAAACCGGCTACCCGAGTTTGATTCCCGTTCTGGAACAACATCCGTGACATTTCAACCATTCCTGGGTCTCCCCCTATGGCGAATCAGCCTTAAAAAGATTACCTGGTGCGGTGTGTCAATATCACGAGGGAGACAAAGGTGGCCGGACATGGTGCTGGCCACCCGCAACTTCATGAGCTGCGTTGGGCTTCATGGATGCTCGCTAACAGCACTTGCCCCAAAAATATTTTAAATGTTATGGGGGGAATCTTTGTTTTGATAGTAGTATATAGTGACGTTAATGATGGTGGTTAGTGATGATGATGGTTGTTGTAGTGGTAGCAGTGGCACTGACGCTAACGATGACGACGACGATGATGGTGTTGATGCACAACACAGGTGGACGATAACAAGAAGCTTGGCGAGTGGTCGGGGCTCTGCAAGATCGACCGCGAGGGGAAACCACGCAAGGTGGTCGGATACAGCTGCGTGGTCGTGAAGGTACGCAAGACAAGTGGGCCTCTGCAGCCCAGCGTGTCATCACGAGCGTTGTGTTCTTATGTGTGTAGGCGCGTTATGCGAGTTTTCGTTTGTGTGTGTGTGTGTGTTGGTGCACGCTCATTTGCGAGTTCTCCTGTAATGTAACGGACGGGTGCGTCCCAGCATGTCATCATGAGGATTTTTGCATGTTTTGTGTTTTTTCGTACTGGGGAGTGTTAGCGTAATGCGCTACCAACATATCGAGCTGAGTTCTATTCACAGCCCAGACTTAACAGTGATGTCCAACCAGGCTCTGGGCCTCCGTAGGTCGACTGCCTTAAATGAGTGCTACCTGGTGTTGCGTTAACATCGGTACTGCTGTGCGACACCACTACGCCCCTCAAACCTGCGCCGTGCCGGCCTTCATAGGCGCTCGCTATAACAGCACTTGCCCCAAACGGCCTGTGTGGGCTACATGGGTGATCTTTGTATTGGTGTTCTCGCGTGCGCTTCCCCGTGCTCCCTGCAGGACTACGGCAAGGAGACGCAAGCCAAGGACGTGCTGGAGGAGTACTTCAAGGGCAAGTGAAGCTCTTCCTGCTCCTCTTGCATCGTCCCTACGATCGCGATGGAACAATAAAAGTGTCACTCAACCTGCCGCCGTCTCCCTCCTGTTTTTGTTTAGCTCCTCGAACCGCATTGCACAACCTCATGAACGCCACAAATTATCTGGTGACGCTGCGTTGGCACAAACGACAAGAAACTCAACACGTTCGTCAAAAACATCGTGGCCTAACAAGGAAATATACGTAATAGGCCACGTTTCAGGCAATGGTACGTCTCCATGGAGCAAATGTGAGAATGACCATTGCCTGGAAACCTCAACTATCGAATGATTTTCTTTTCAAGGGCAAGGTGTTATGAGTTTATCATTAAAGATAATGGGATGGTCACATCAACTCCCTTTGATAATGGTGGCCTAAATGATCATAGTTATTTTGAGCTGGTGCCGTAGACAAGGCTGAGAACATTAAGTGCAATTTGGTTGCACAGAATGCAGGTGGATGTGAGTTGTCTGTGAGCAGCACACCTTTGCATGCGTGTGGTAAAAATGCAGAGCAGCCATATTACCGTAACGTGTTTCTAAATGTGGAGGGAGGACCCGGAGGAAAAAAATCTGCACAACCGTGGTGAAAACATACAAACTCCAAATATACACGACTTGTACTCTGGTTCTTTTGGTGAAACCACGTAGGTAGAAAAATAATAGATCACGACATTTCGATTGCAACAAGCGGATCTCTCGTATCTCACGTATGCCCCCCCTTCTCCCCCCCCCCCCACCGCCGATATCTATATATCCTTGTGTCACGGCAGCTCTCGCCTACTTAAAGCAGTTTTCTTGCAGTAGTTTTTCTTGCTGTAGTCACCTGATGACGATTGCTTGTGTTACGATCGAAACATCGATCTATTTTTTTTTCTATTCACGTGACTTGACCGCAAGAACCAAAGAGTATGGGTTCCTGCAGTCACGAAAGCTTCAAATTCATACACGACTTGTGGCTGAATCCACGACCACTGCATAACAGGCAAGCAGTGGCGGCTCGTGACATTTCCACTAGGAGGAGCCGTTTTGATCTGAAAATTTGTTTTAAGAAAAACCTCTTATTGGCCTTACCGTGAAAGTGATACAACTCTTATCTACCAACGGTAAGCATTTATAAACAAAGCATTCAAATGCTGTCACCATGACCATCGAGGCCACACCATATATGACCTGCGAATTGCACAGTGCAACCTAGCGTTGTGACATCGTCATTGCAGCCATGGGCGACTTCATCGCCCTGAATGGGTCGCAAACGGCGTGGCTACAATGCGAAGCTCATGGCGATGAATGAAGATATCACTCGGACGCCTACACAGCCGCTCCGAGAACTCGCCTGAGACACATCAGACTTGCAGCTGTTTCTCATTAACTTACATGTTCTCTCCATGAGAAAATTCGCTTTGAAAGAATCATATTTTTTTAAATGCAACAACATTTTTATAGAGAAGTATTTTTTTATTAGAAAAATAATTTCTCATTTCCAGCTGCTTGGTGAGGCAATGCCCCTAGTGGACGGACCTCGCCTGCAGGCGAGGGAGTTAACTTGTGAATGGTCGGTGCGAGGAAGTGTTCACTGACATGCGTGTTCATTATCAAGATCAATAAATCGTGACCAAAACCGTTTGCCAACGCTGTTGAGTGGGAGGTAACATTGAACACGTGGATTGTCAATACCTCAAAGTATGGGTTATCTAAAAAAATAGAATATGGTTGGTCAAGTTTTGGTTTCACACCGCCCTTAAAATTAGGATGGTCGATAGTAGAATCTACCCCGGGGGGCCAAGCAGGGCCAGGGGGCGGGGCTAATGATTGCATTCGTTGAGTGTCGTGCTGGCTTTGGTACGACTTCTGCATAGCTTGGCAGCGCAGTTGGGAAAAAAGGTCATTAAAGACCTATATTTAGTAGGAATACCAGAAAAATTACTTGATTTTTTTCTTCTCAGGAATAGCAGCCAAGATGATGTCCACTACTGATGAAGCAATAAAATTTGAGCTCACACGCTGGATCTAAATGCGTTGCATCCCACCCACGCATATTTCATGCTCGGAGCCTGAATTTATCCAAATTAAGCGGAAAACCAACTTTTTGGAATTTGCATGTTCTCTCTCCCCCGTGGTCGTGTGGATTTTTCTCCGAGTCCTCCGGGTTTTCCCTCCTCCACATTTACAAACATGCGTTTAGAGTATACATTTACACGTGATAACACCACTTAGTTGAGCTCTCATTTGTGGCTTGGTCGCTTCTGAACATTCGGTGGGCCTTACCTTATAAAATTTTAAAAAGTTCAGAACATTAACTCGCTGCACTTTAGAGCCAGGTTTCGGGACAAGCCAACCTGGCCAACACGGATGGTCATGTTGGTTTTGACCTTGAGTTCACGCCGCATTGGTTCGAGCACTGCTTAAAGTCACGAGCCAATTTAATATCCCAGGAGCAGCTGAATATTAGTCAAAACTAACAGGGCTCCTACAAACACGGCCTGGCCTCTTGATGCCTGAGTGGTGAGTTTGTTGGTGCGTGTTAGAGAACCTGGGTTAAAATCCAGCAAAACATTGCATTTTGTTTGAACAGTCCATAACCGTTTGAGGCAATCATACAGCAGTGGATGAATCAAGGCTGATGACATTTTTCATTCATACCCAAGATACGTACAGGACATCTGAACACAAAAGCTTTATAGCTCATCGGATTCCTCCAGAAACACCGGTGACGAATATCTGAACCGGTCCTGGGCCTCCCCCTAGGTCGACTCAGCCTCAAATGAGTACCTGGTGCGGCGTGCAGTAAACATCGCCTTTGTTAAGGCGTTACGAGGGATCTTTGTCTCCTCCTCCAGCAGCTAACACGGATGGTGATGAGGAGATGGTGATGAGATGACACGGGAGATGATGGGAGGGAAGAAAGGTGGGAGAGAGAAAGAAACCTTTCACGTTTTGGTGGTGGGGTTTTTTTTAAAATTAATTTCACACACGGGAGCTTTTTTCGCGCTGTATAATTTAAACAGCTGGCCACGAGAGGGCGATTCTGCAGTGTTAACGCCGTTTTACCAAATGCAGAAATACGGGAGGGTGGGGTTCAGGCCGAGTTGAACGCAAAATGTGAGTTAATACCTCGGTAAACGACACAAAAACGACGCTAAACCGGCTTGAATCTGACATATGAGGTTAAAATATCCCACCAGAATGCGCCTCGTGGAACTCTGGGTGCTGTTTCCATTGATAAGACCCACAATTTTTTTCTATCGCAAAATCACATCCCCCACCCATCACATCCCTCCCTCTTCGACTCATCACCTCACGCCATAAGCTGCGGAGTTTCCCGGGATCGTCCTCGCGGTGAGTGTGTAGCTGGAGGTCTTCCTGGGACATTACAACGTAGTGTGTTGTGTGTATCTGATGGTGTGTGGTATGCCGAGTGTGTCTGGTAAATGACGAGTGAGTGTGTGGTGAGTGAGTGAGTGGTGTATAGTGAGTGTGTGGTGAGTGAGTGAGTGGTGTATAGTGAGTGTGTGGCGAGTGAGTGGCGAGTGAGTGGTGAGTGTGTGGTGAGTGAGTGGCGAGTGTGTGGTGAGTGGTGAGTGAGTGGTGGGTGAGTGGTGTGTGGTGAGTGAGTGGTGAGTGTGTGGTGAGTGGTGAGTGTGTGGTGAGTGGTGTATAGTGAGTGTGTGGCGAGTGTGTGGCGAGTGAGCGGCGAGTGAGTGGTGAGTGTGTGGTGAGTGAGTGGCGAGTAAGTGGCGAGTGTGTGGTGAGTGTGTGGTGAGTGAGTGGTGAGTGTGTGGTGAGTGAGTGGCGAGTGTGTGGTAAGTGAGTGGGGAGTGAGTGGTGAGTGAGTAAGTGGTCAGTGAGTGGTGAGTGACGAGTGAGTGGTGAGTGTGTGGTGAGTGGCGAGTGAGTGGCGAGTGAGTGGTGAGTGTGTGGTGAGTGAGTGGTGAGTGGCGAGTGAGTGGTGAGTGAGTGGTGGGTGGTGAGTGAGTGGTGTGTAGTGAGTGAGTGGCGAGTGAATGGTGAGTGTGTGGTGAGTGAGTGGTGAGTGTGTGGTGAGTGAGCGAGTGGTGAGTGAGTGGAGAGTGAGTGGCGAGTGTGTGGTGAGTGTGTGGTGAGTGGCGAGTGAGTGGCGAGTGTGTGGCGAGTGTATGGTGAGTGAGTGGCGAGTGAGTAGTGAGTGTGTGGTGAGTGAGTGGCGAGTGAGTGGTGAGTGTGTGGTGAGTGAGTGGCGAGTGAGTGGTGAGTGAGTGGCGAGTGAGTGGTGTGTGGCGAGTGAGTGGCGAGTGTGTGGCGAGTGAGTGGTGAGTGAGTGGTGAGTGAGTGGTGAGTGTGTGGCGAGTGAGTGGTGAGTGTGTGGTGAGTGAGTGGTGAGCGAATGGTGAGTGGTGAGTGAGTGTGTGGTGTGTGGTGAGTGAGTGGTGAGTGAGTGGCGAGTGAGTGGTGAGTGTGTGGCGAGTGAGTGGCGAGTGAGTGGTTCGAGTGTGTGGTGAGTGAGTGGCGAGTGTGTGGTGAGTGTGTGGTGAGTGAGTGGCGAGTGAGTGGTGAGTGGCGAGTGAGTGGCGAGTGGCGAGTGAGTGGCGAGTGTGTGGCGAGTGTGTGGTGAGTGAGTGGCGAGTGAGTGGTGAGTGAGTGGCGAGTGAGTGGTGAGTGAGTGGTGAGTGGTGTGTGGCGAGTGAGTGGCGAGTGTGTGGCGAGTGGCGAGTGAGTGGTGAGTGGCGAGTGAGTGGCGAGTGTGTGGCGAGTGTGTGGTGAGTGAGTGGCGAGTGAGTGGTGAGTGAGTGGTGAGTGAGTGGCGAGTGTGTGGTAAGTGAGTGGGGAGTGAGTGGTGAGTGAGTAAGTGGTCAGTGAGTGAGTGGTGAGTGACGAGTGAGTGGTGAGTGGCGAGTGAGTGGTGAGTGAGTGGCGAGTGAGTGGTGAGTGTGTGGTGAGTGTGTGGTGAGTGGCGAGTGAGTGGTGAGTGAGTGGTGGGTGAGTGGTGTGTGGTGAGTGAGTGGTGTGTAGTGAGTGAGTGGCGAGTGAATGGTGAGTGTGTGGTGAGTGAGTGGTGAGTGTGTGGTGAGTGAGCGAGTGGTGAGTGAGTGGAGAGTGAGTGGCGAGTGTGTGGTGAGTGTGTGGTGAGTGGCGAGTGAGTGGTGAGTGGCGAGTGAGTGGCGAGTGTGTGGCGAGTGTGTGGTGAGTGAGTGGCGAGTGAGTAGTGAGTGTGTGGTGAGTAGTGAGTGAGTGGCGAGTGAGTGGTGAGTGTGTGGTGAGTGAGTGGTGAGTGAGTGGCGAGTGAGTGGTGAGTGAGTGGCGAGTGAGTGGTGTGTGGCGAGTGAGTGGCGAGTGTGTGGCGAGTGAGTGGTGAGTGGTGAGTGAGTGGTGAGTGAGTGGTGAGTGTGTGGCGAGTGAGTGGTGAGTGTGTGGTGAGTGAGTGGTGAGCGAATGGTGAGTGGTGAGTGAGTGTGTGGTGAGTGAGTGGTGAGTGAGTGGCGAGTGAGTGGTGAGTGTGTGGCGAGTGAGTGGCGAGTGAGTGGTTCGAGTGTGTGGTGAGTGAGTGGCGAGTGTGTGGTGAGTGTGTGGTGAGTGAGTGGCGAGTGAGTGGTGAGTGGCGAGTGAGTGGCGAGTGAGTGGCGAGTGTGTGGCGAGTGTGTGGTGAGTGAGTGGCGAGTGAGTGGTGAGTGAGTGGCGAGTGAGTGGTGAGTGAGTGGTGAGTGGTGTGTGGCGAGTGAGTGGCGAGTGTGTGGCGAGTGGCGAGTGAGTGGTGAGTGGCGAGTGAGTGGCGAGTGTGTGGCGAGTGTGTGGTGAGTGAGTGGCGAGTGAGTGGTGAGTGAGTGGTGAGTGAGTGGTGAGTGAGTGGTGTGTGGCGAGTGAGTGGCAAGTGTGTGGCGAGTGAGTGGAGAGTGTGTGGCGAGTGAGTGGAGAGTGAGTGGTGAGTGTGTGGCGAGTGTGTGGTGAGTGGTCAGTGTGTGGTGGGTGAGTGGCGAGTGAGTGGTGAGTGAGTGGCGAGTGTGTGGTGAGTGGTCAGTGTGTGGTGAGTGTGTGGCGAGTGAGTGGCGAGTGAGTGGTGATTGTGTGGCGAGTGAGTGGCGAGTGTGTGGCGAGTGAGTGGCGAGTGAGTGGTGAGTGGCGAGTGAGTGGCGAGTGAGTGGTGAGTATGTGGTGAGTGAGTGGTGAGTGAGTTGCCACCCGTCCTGGGTTTCCCCGGGATCGTCCTCTCTCTGAGGAATCTCTCCGAGTGAATCTCTCTGCCTCCTGTCGGCTCATGAGAAGTCCTGGCGCATTCACGAGAGGCCTCCACTCCTCGCTCGACATCTTCGGGAACGCTGCTGCTATTGAACCGGCTTGGAGTCGGGATTAGCGGCGTAAGGCACTACCACGAGAGTGCAAGGTAGCCCCACCCATAATCACGTGATACATCGTCATACCCTGTATCCCTACACAGTACAGACGAGGAACCCGTCTACATGAAGATGAAATGCCATGAGCTGGATCGTTCTGGTTAATATCAAACACCGGTAACAATATCTATGGAATATTATTGCTAGTATCCAAAATTCTGAAAAATAAGAATTGTTTTTACCCTTTCTGGCAATAGAACAGGAGTTGTTAAGATGTTTAAACACCAAATAGAATTAATTAACCACACGCACTTGTGGCATAACATGAAAAAATGCTCTCATAATAGATGGCATTGTCTTTGAAACTGATTTGCCTGTCACCAGAGACAGCTGCCTTCTTTATTAGACGATTTTTGACCCCCCCCCCCCTTTCGTCACACGGCGTCACAAAAAGTCAGACCCCCCCCCCCTCAAATATGATGTCACAAAGCTCTGCCCCCCCCCCCCCAAAAAGAATGCTTGAAATCGCTTTAAACTATTGTCATTGTAGTGCGTATTTAATATGGCGCTGCACTCTGATGTTGTAGGAGAAAACATGTATTAAAAAGTCTATTTAATTAAGTAGAACGTGTTGTCTATATTTATTTAAAGTTGCGCATTTTGATTTCTCAAACCCCCCCTCCCATCGTCACAAATATCTGACCCCCTCCCCCCTAGGTGCGTGACGTCATTTATGGACGGCCCCAAAGACAATGCAAGTATCAGAACACTTAGAGCCCGGTTCCAGCAGTTATATCTTTGAAACCGTTTTGCCACGATCCAAAATTATGAAAATAAAAATGTTTTACCCTATATGTAACGTGTTGTGCGGAAGGGCCATTACCTGGAACGTTACCCCGTTCTAGTCGTTTTCCTTTTTTACAGACAATGTTATTGTCCGTAATGTGTGGCGTTTGCAATGAACCCATTGAAAGCCGTGAAACAACATTGCCTCTTGCCAGGGTGATTTGGGTGCGTCTAGAGCAATTAAGTATGCATTTTTATGGGGACATTGTAATGCAGCAGCATTTGTTTAACGAGCCTGACTTGATGCGACCTAGATTGTCGAAACCTGGTCGACAGTTTGTTCGCTTAAGCAAATGCTGCTGGATAACATTGGTCTGGAAAGCCAAGAGAGGCTAATGGACTATAACGTCCATTTATGTTTGTTTAGTAACACTTGATGTTTTTGGAGGCAGCTTAAAACACAAGTCTCCAATAGTTTTAGGATTGATGCTTGAGGTTCTTAGAGCCAAACTTAGATACCCTTAGGATGGTGTAGGCTTTGTTAATGCGCCTGGTTCTTTAAGCCAGGCTAAAGGCTGCTTTTATTTGAGGGCTCATTGTGCCACACCAAGGGCTCTCTAGGCCCAGTACCCGCGTAGCTGTGTTGATGAACTTGACGTCGGATTCCCAATCACTCCTCTATGAGTGAGAACGTCTTCTGAGCAGCAACGTGGTTTGTGTCCCCCCCTCCCCCCCCCCTTGGTCCACTGAAACCGGCTACCCGAGTTTGATTCCCGTTCTGGAACAACATCCGTGACATTTCAACCATTCCTGGGTCTCCCCCTATGGCGAATCAGCCTTAAAAAGATTACCTGGTGCGGTGTGTCAATATCACGAGGGAGACAAAGGTGGCCGGACACGGTGCTGGCCACCCGCAACTTAATGAGCTGCGTTGGGCTTCATGGATGCTCGCTTAACAGCACTTGCCCCAAAAATATTTTAAATGTTATGGGGGGAATCTTTGTTTTGATAGTAGTATATAGTGACGTTAATGATGGTGGTTAGTGATGATGATGGTTGTTGTAGTGGTAGCAGTGGCACTGACGCTAACGATGACGATGATGGTGTTGATGCACAACACAGGTGGACGATAACAAGAAGCTTGGCGAGTGGTCGGGGCTCTGCAAGATCGACCGCGAGGGGAAACCACGCAAGGTGGTCGGATGCAGCTGCGTGGTCGTGAAGGTACGCAAGACAAGTGGGCCTCTGCAGCCCAGCGTGTCATCACGAGCGTTGTGTTCTTATGTGTGTAGGCGCGTTATGCGAGTTTTCGTTTGTGTGTGTGTGTGTGTGTTGGTGCACGCTCATTTGCGAGTTCTCCTGTAATGTATCGGACGGGTGCGTCCCAGCATGTCATCATGAGGATTTTTGCATGTTTTGTGTTTTTTCGTACTGGGGAGTGTTAGCGTAATGCGCTACCAACATATCGAGCTGAGTTCTATTCACAGCCCAGACTTAACAGTGATGTCCAACCAGGCTCTGGGCCTCCGTAGGTCGACTGCCTTAAATGAGTGCTACCTGGTGTTGCGTTAACATCGGTACTGCTGTGCGACACCACTACGCCCCTCAAACCTGCGCCGTGCCGGCCTTCATAGGCGCTCGCTATAACAGCACTTGCCCCAAACGGCCTGTGTGGGCTACATGGGTGATCTTTGTATTGGTGTTCTCGCGTGCGCTTCCCCGTGCTCCCTGCAGGACTACGGCAAGGAGACGCAAGCCAAGGACGTGCTGGAGGAGTACTTCAAGGGCAAGTGAAGCTCTTCCTGCTCCTCTTGCATCGTCCCTACGATCGCGATGGAACAATAAAAGTGTCACTCAACCTGCCGCCGTCTCCCTCCTGTTTTTGTTTAGCTCCTCGAACCGCATTGCACAACCTCATGAACGCCACAAATTATCTGGTGACGCTGCGTTGGCAGTGGGGTGCGTAAGCACAAACGACAAGAAACTCAACACGTTCGTCAAAAACATCGTAGCCTTACAAGGAAATATACGTAATAGGCCACGTTTCAGGCAATGGTACGTCTCCATGGAACAAATTTGAGAATGACCATTGCCTGGAAACCTCAACTATCGAATGATTTTCTTTTCAAGGGCAAGGTGTTATGAGTTTATCATTAGAGATAATGGGATGGTCACATCAACTCCCTTTGATAATGGTGGCCTAAATGATCATAGTTATTTTGAGCTGGTGCCGTAGACAAGGCTGAGAACATTAAGTGCAATTTGGGTGCACAAAATGCACGTGGATGCGAGTTGTCTGTGAGCAGCACACCTTTGCATGCGTGTGGTAAAAATGCAGAGCAGCCAGATTACCGTAACGTGTTTCTAAATGTGGAGGGAGGACCCGGAGGAAAAAAATCTGCACAACCGTGGTGAAAACATACAAACTCCAAATATACACGACTTGTACTCTGGTTCTTTTGGTGAAATCACGTAGGTAGAAAAAATAATAGATCACGACATTTCGATTGCAACAAGCGGATCTCTCATCTCTCCCCCCAGTATCTCACGTATGCCCCCCCCCTGCCTTCGCTCTCCCCCCCCCCCCCCCTACCGCCGATATCTATATATCCTTGTGTCACGGCAGCTCTCGCCTACTTAAAGCAGTTTTCTTGCAGTAGTTTTGCTTGCTGTAGTCACCTGATGACGATTGCTTGTGTTACGATCGAAACATCAATCTATTCTTTCTGCCCACGTGACTTGACCGCAAGAACCAAAGAGTATGGGTTCCTGCAGTCACGAAAGCTTCAAATTACCAGGCAAGCAGTGGCGGCTCGTGACATTTCCACTAGGAGGAGCCGTTTTGATCTGAAAATTTGTTTTAAGAAAAACCTCTTATTGGCCTTACCGTGAAGGTGATACAACTCTTATCTACCAACGGTAAGCATTTATAAACAAAGCATTCAAATGCTGTCACCATGACCATCGAGGCCACACCATATATGACCTGCGAATTGCACAGTGCAACCTAGCGTTGTGACATCGTCATTGCAGCCATGGGCGACTTCTTCATCGCCCTGAATGGGTCGCAAACGGCGTGGCTACAATGCGAAGCTCATGGCGATGAATGAAGGGATATCACTCGGACGCCTACACAGCCGCTCCGAGAACTCGCCACAGGCACAAATCAGACTTGCAGCGGTTTCTCATTAACTTACATGTTCTCTCCATGAGAAAATTCGCTTTGAAAGAATCATATTTTTTTAAATGCAACAACATTTTTATAGAGAAGTATTTTTTTATTAGAAAAATAATTTATCATTTCCAGCTTCTTGGTGAGGCAACGCCCCTAGTGGACGGACCTCGCCTGCAGGCGAGGGAGTTAACTTGTGAATGGTCGGTGCGAGGAAGTGTTCACTGACATGCGTGTTCATTATCAAGATCAATAAATCGTGACCAAAACCGACTGCCAACGCTGTTGAGTGGGAGGTAACATTGAACACGTGGATTGTCAATACCTCAAAGTATGGGTTACCTAAAAAAATAGAATGTGGTTGGTCAAGTTTTGGTTTCACACCGCCCTTAAAATTAGGATGGTCGATAGTAGAATCTACCCCGGGGGGCCAAGCAGGGCCAGGGGGCGGGGCTAATGATTGCATTCGTTGAGTGTCGTGCTGGCTTTGGTACGACTTCTGCATAGCTTGGCAGCGCAGTTGGGAAAAAAGGTCATTAAAGATCTATATTTAGTAGGAATACCAGAAAAATTACTTGATTTTTTTTTCTTCTCAGGAATAGCAACCAAGATGATGTCCACTACTGATAAAGCAATGAAATCTGAGCTCACACGCTGGATCTAAATGCGTTGCATCCCACCCACGCATATTTCATGCTCGGAGCTGGAATTTATCCAAATTAAGCGGAAAACCAACTTTTTGGAATTTGCATGTTCTCTCTCCCCGTGGTCGTGTGGATTTTTCTCCGAGTCCTCCGGGTTTTCCCTCCTCCACATTTACAAACATGCGTTTAGAGTATACATTTACACGTGATAACACCACTTAGTTGAGCTCTCATTTGTGGCTTGGTCGCTTCTGAACATTCGGTGGGCCTTACCTTATAAAATTTTAAAAAGTTCAGAACATTAACTCGCTGCACTTTAGAGCCAGGTTTCGGGACAAGCCAACCTGGCCAACACGGATGGTCATGTTGGTTTTGACCTTGAGTTCACGCCGCATTGGTTCGAGCACTGCTTAAAGTCACGAGCCAATTTAATATCCCAGGAGCAGCTGAATATTAGTCATAAAACTAACAGGGCTCCTACAAACACGGCCTGGCCTCTTGATGCCTGAGTGGTGAGTTTGTTGGTGCGTGTTAGAGAACCTGGGTTAAAATCCAGCAAAACATTGCATTTTGTTTGAACAGTCCATAACCGTTTGAGGCAATCATACAGCAGTGGATGAATCAAGGCTGATGACATTTTTCATTCATACCCAAGATACGTACAGGACATCTGAACACAAAAGCTTTATAGCTCATCGGATTCCTCCAGAAACACCGGTGACGAATATCTGAACCGGTCCTGGGCCTCCCCCTAGGTCGACTCAGCCTCAAATGAGTACCTGGTGCGGCGTGCAGTAAACATCGCCTTTGTTAAGGCGTTACGAGGGATCTTTGTCTCCTCCTCCAGCAGCTAACACGGATGGTGATGAGGAGATGGTGATGAGATGACACGGGAGATGATGGGAGGGAAGAAGGGTGGGAGAGAGAAAGAAACCTTTCACGTTTTGGTGGTGGGGTTTTTTTAAAAATTAATTTCACACACGGGAGCTTTTTTCGCGCTGTATAATTTAAACAGCTGGCCACGAGAGGGCGATTCTGCAGTGTTAACGCCGTTTTACCAAATGCAGAAATACGGGAGGGTGGGGTTCAGGCCGAGTTGAACGCAAAATGTGAGTTAATACCTCGGTAAACGACACAAAAACGACGCTAAACCGGCTTGAATCTGACATATGAGGTTAAAATATCCCACCAGAATGCGCCTCGTGGAACTCTGGGTGCTGTTTCCATTGATAAGACCCACAATTTTTTTCTATCGCAAAATCACATCCCCCCACCCATCACATCCCTCCCTCTTCGACTCATCACCTCACGCCATGACTCTTATCTATCCACCAGCCATCACAGCTCTCCCCCTCCACCCTGCCGAACCCACCACCTCACGCCATAAGCTGCGGAGTTTCCCGGGATCGTCCTCGCGGTGAGTGTGTAGCTGGAGGTCTTCCTGGGACATTACAACGTAGTGTGTTGTGTGTATCTGATGGTGTGTGGTATGCCGAGTGTGTCTGGTAAATGACGAGTGAGTGTGTGGTGAGTGAGTGAGTGGTGTGTAGTGAGTGAGTGGCGAGTGAGTGGTGAGTGTGTGGTGAGTGAGTGGCGAGTGTGTGGCGAGTGAGTGGCGAGTGAGTGGTGAGTGTGTGGTGAGTGTGTGGTGAGTGTGTGGTGAGTGAGTAGTGAGTGTGTGGTGAGTGAGTGGTGTGTAGTGAGTGAATGGTGAGTTTGTGGTGAGTGAGTGGTGAGTGTGTGGTGAGTGAGCGAGTGGTGAGTGAGTGGCGAGTGAGTGGCGAGTGTGTGGTGAGTGTGTGGTGAGTGAGTGGTGAGTGGCGAGTGAGTGGTGAGTGGCGAGTGAGTGGCGAGTGAGTGGTGAGTGTGTGGTGAGTGTGTGGTGAGTGAATGGTGAGTGGTGAGTGTGTGGTGAGTGAGTGGTGTGTAGTGAGTGAATGGTGAGTGTGTGGTGAATGAGTGGTGAGTGTGTGGTGAGTGAGCGAGTGGTGAGTGAGTGGCGAGTGAGTGGCGAGTGTGTGGTGAGTGTGTGGTGAGTGAGTGGTGAGTGTGTGGTGAGTGAGTGGTGAGTGTGTGGTGAGTGAGTGGTGTGTAGTGGGTGAATGGTGAGTTTGTGGTGAGTGAGTGGTGAGTGTGTGGTGAGTGAGTGGCGAGTGAGTGGCGAGTGTGTGGTGAGTGTGTGGTGAGTGGCGAGTGAGTGGCGAGTGAGTGGTGAGTGTGTGGTGAGTGTGTGGTGAGTGTGTGGTGAGTGAATGGTGAGTGGTGAGTGTGTGGTGAGTGAGTGGTGTGTAGTGAGTGAATGGTGAGTGTGTGGTGAGTGAGTGGTGAGTGTGTGGTGAGTGAGCGAGTGGTGAGTGAGTGGCGACTGAGTGGCGAGTGTGTGGTGAGTGTGTGGTGAGTGAGTGGCAAGTGAGTGGTGAGTGGCGAGTGAGTGGCGAGTGAGTGGTGAGTGAGTGGTGAGTGTGTGGTGAGTGAGTGGTGAGTGTGTGGTGAGTGAGTGGGGAGTGAGTGGCGAGTGTGTGGTGAGTGGTGAGTGTGTGGTGAGTGAGTGGTGAGTGTGTGGTGTGTGGCGAGTGAGTGAGTGGTGAGTGTGTGGTGAGTGTGTGGCGAGTGAGTGGTGAGTGAGTGGTGAGTGAGTGGTGAGTGAGTGGTGAGTGAGTGGTGAGTGTGTGGCGAGTGAGTGGCGAGTGAGTGGCGAGTGTGTGGTGAGTGAGTGGTGAGTGAGTGGTGAGTGAGTGGCGAGTGTGTGGCGAGTGAGTGGTGAGTGTGTGGCGAGTGAGTGGAGAGTGTATGGCGAGTGTGTGGTGAGTGGTGAGTGTGTGGTGAGTGAGTGGTGAGTGAGTGGCGAGTGAGTGGTGAGTGTGTGGTGAGTGGTGAGTGAGTGGCGAGTGTGTGGCGAGTGAGTGGTGAGTGTGTGGTGAGTGTGTGGTGAGTGAGTGGTGAGTGAGTGGTGAGTGAGTGGCGAGTGTGTGGCGAGTGAGTGGCGAGTGGTGAGTGAGTGTGTGGTGAGTGAGTGGCGAGTGAGTGGTGAGTGAGTGGCGAGTGAGTGGTGAGTGTGTGGTGAGTGAGTGGTGAGTGAGTGGCGAGTGAGTGGTGAGTGAGTGGTGAGTGAGTGGTGAGTATGTGGCGAGTGAGTGGTGAGTGAGTGGTGAGTGTGTGGCGAGTGAGTGGTGAGTGTGTGGTGAGTGTGTGGTGAGTGAGTGGTGAGTGAGTGGTATGTGGTGAGTGGCGAGTGAGTGTGTGGTGAGTGGCGAGTGAGTGGTGAGTGGGGAGTGAGTGGTGAGTGAGTGGTGAGTGTGTGGCGAGTGAGTGGTGAGTGAGCGAGTGGTGAGTGGTGAGTGAGTGGCGAGTGAGTGGCGAGTGTGTGGTGAGTGAGTGGTGAGTGAGTGGTGGGTGAGTGGTGTGTGGTGAGTGAGTGGTGTGTAGTGAGTGAGTGGCGAGTGTGTGGTGAGTGTGTGGTGAGTGAGTGGTGAGTGAGTGGTGAGTGAGCGAGTGGTGAGTGAGTGGCGAGTGAGTGGCGAGTGTGTGGTGACTGTGTGGTGAGTGAGTGGCGAGTGAGTGGCGAGTGTGTGGCGAGTGAGTGGCGAGTGAGTGGTGAGTGTGTGGTGAGTGTGTGGTGAGTGGTGAGTGTGTGGTGAGTGAGTGGTGTGTAGTGAGTGAATGGTGAGTGTGTGGTGAGTGAGCGAGTGGTGAGTGGCGAGTGAGTGGCGAGTGTGTGGTGAGTGTGTGGTGAGTGAGTGGCGAGTGAGTGGTGAGTGGCGAGTGAGTGGCGAGTGAGTGGTGAGTGTGTGGTGAGTGAATGGTGAGTGGTGAGTGTGTGGTGAGTGAGTGGTGTGTAGTGAGTGAATGGTGAGTGTGTGGTGAGTGAGTGGTGAGTGTGTGGTGAGTGAGCGAGTGGTGAGTGAGTGGCGAGTGAGTGGCGAGTGTGTGGTGAGTGTGTGGTGAGTGAGTGGTGAGTGGCGAGTGAGTGGTGAGTGGCGAGTGAGTGGTGAGTGAGTGGTGAGTGTGTGGTGAGTGAGTGGTGAGTGTGTGGCGAGTGTGTGGCGAGTGAGTGGCGAGTGTGTGGTGTGTGGCGAGTGAGTGAGTGGTGAGTGTGTGGTGAGTGTGTGGCGAGTGAGTGGTGAGTGTGTGGCGAGTGAGTGGTGAGTGAGTGGTGAGTGAGTGGCGAGTGTGTGGCGAGTGAGTGGTGAGTGTGTGGCGAGTGAGTGGAGAGTGTGTGGCGAGTGAGTGGAGAGTGTGTGGCGAGTGAGTGATGAGTGTGTGGCGAGTGAGTGGTGAGTGTGTGGCGAGTGTGTGGTGAGTGAGTGGTGAGTGAGTGGTGAGTGAGTGGTGAGTGAGTGGTGAGTGTGTGGCGAGTGAGTGGTGAGTGTGTGGTGAGTGAGTGGGGAGTGAGTGGCGAGTGTGTGGTGAGTGGTGAGTGAGTGGTGAGTGAGTGGCGAGTGAGTGGTGAGTGGTGAGTGTGTGGTGAGTGGTGAGTGAGTGGCGAGTGTGTGGCGAGTGAGTGGTGAGTGAGTGGCGAGTGAGTGGTGAGTGTGTGGTGAGTGAGTGGTGAGTGAGTGGTGAGTGAGTGGCGAGTGTGTGGCGAGTGAGTGGCGAGTGGTGAGTGAGTGTGTGGTGAGTGAGTGGCGAGTGAGTGGTGAGTGAGTGGCGAGTGAGTGGTGAGTGTGTGGTGAGTGAGTGGTGAGTGAGTGGCGAGTGAGTGGTGAGTGTGTGGTGAGTGAGTGGTGAGTGAGTGGTGAGTGAGTGGTGAGTATGTGGCGAGTGAGTGGTGAGTGAGTGGTGAGTGTGTGGCGAGTGAGTGGTGAGTGAGTGGTGAGTGTGTGGTGAGTGTGTGGTGAGTGAGTGGTGAGTGAGTGGTATGTGGTGAGTGGCGAGTGAGTGTGTGGTGAGTGGCGAGTGAGTGGTGAGTGGGGAGTGAGTGGTGAGTGAGTGGTGAGTGTGTGGCGAGTGAGTGGTGAGTGAGTGGCAAGTGAGTGAGTGGTGAGTGAGTGGTGAGTGAGTGGCGAGTGGCGAGTGAGTGGTGAGTGTGTGGCGAGTGAGTGGTGAATGAGTGGTGAGTGGTGAGTGTGTGGTGAGTGAGTGGTGTGTAGTGAGTGAATGGTGAGTGTGTGGTGAGTGAGTGGTGAGTGTGTGGTGAGTGAGCGAGTGGTGAGTGGTGAGTGAGTGGCGAGTGTGTGGCGAGTGTGTGGTGAGTGAGTGGTGAGTGAGTGGTGGGTGAGTGGTGTGTGGTGAGTGAGTGGTGTGTAGTGAGTGAGTGGCGAGTGTGTGGTGAGTGTGTGGTGAGTGAGTGGTGAGTGAGTGGTGAGTGAGCGAGTGGTGAGTGAGTGGCGAGTGAGTGGCGAGTGTGTGGTGACTGTGTGGTGAGTGAGTGGTGAGTGGCGAGTGAGTGGCGAGTGAGTGGCGAGTGTGTGGCGAGTGAGTGGCGAGTGAGTGGTGAGTGTGTGGTGAGTGTGTGGTGAGTGAATGGTGAGTGGTGAGTGTGTGGTGAGTGAGTGGTGTGTAGTGAGTGAATGGTGAGTGTGTGGTGAATGAGTGTGTGGTGAGTGAGCGAGTGGTGAGTGGCGAGTGAGTGGCGAGTGTGTGGTGAGTGTGTGGTGAGTGAGTGGCGAGTGAGTGGCGAGTGAGTGGTGAGTGTGTGGTGAGTGTGTGGTGAGTGAATGGTGAGTGGTGAGTGTGTGGTGAGTGAGTGGTGTGTAGTGAGTGAGTGGTGAGTGTGTGGTGAGTGAGCGAGTGGTGAGTGGTGAGTGAGTGGCGAGTGAGTGGCGAGTGTGTGGTGAGTGTGTGGTGAGTGAGTGGTGAGTGGCGAGTGAGTGGTGAGTGGCGAGTGAGTGGCGAGTGAGTGGCGAGTGAGTGGCGAGTGTGTGGTTAGTGTGTGGTGAGTGAGTGGTGAGTGGCGAGTGAGTGGTGAGTGGCGAGTGAGTGGCGAGTGAGTGGTGAGTGAGTGGTGAGTGTGTGGTGAGTGAGTGGTGAGTGTGTGGCGAGTGAGTGGCGAGTGTGTGGTGTGTGGCGAGTGAGTGAGTGGTGAGTGTGTGGTGAGTGTGTGGCGAGTGAGTGGTGAGTGAGTGGTGAGTGTGTGGCGAGTGAGTGGTGAGTGAGTGGTGAGTGAGTGGCGAGTGTGTGGCGAGTGAGTGGTGAGTGTGTGGCGAGTGAGTGGAGAGTGTGTGGCGAGTGAGTGGAGAGTGTGTGGCGAGTGAGTGATGAGTGTGTGGCGAGTGAGTGGTGAGTGTGTGGCGAGTGTGTGGTGAGTGAGTGGTGAGTGAGTGGTGAGTGTGTGGCGAGTGAGTGGCGAGTGTGTGGTGAGTGAGTGGTGAGTGTGTGGTGAGTGAGTGGGGAGTGAGTGGCGAGTGTGTGGTGAGTGGTGAGTGTGTGGTGAGTGTGTGGTGAGTGAGTGGTGAGTGAGTGGCGAGTGAGTGGTGAGTGTGTGATGAGTGAGTGGCGAGTGAGTGGTGAGTGAGTGGTGAGTGTGTGGCGAGTGAGTGGTGAGTGTGTGGTGAGTGAGTGGTGAGTGGGGAGTGAGTGGCGAGTGTGTGGTGAGTGTGTGGCGAGTGAGTGGCGAGTGAGTGGTGAGTGGCGAGTGAGTGGTGAGTGTGTGGCGAGTGAGTGGTGAGTGAGTGGTGAGTGAGTGGTGAGTGGCGAGTGAGTGGTGAGTGGCGAGTGAGTGGTGAGTGAGTGGCGAGTGTGTGGTGAGTGAGTGGTGAGTGAGTGGCGAGTGAGTGGTGAATGAGTGGAGAGTGAGTTGCCACCCGTCCTGGGTTTCCCCGGGATCGTCCTCTCTCTGAGGGATCTCTCCGAGTGAATCTCTCTGCCTCCTGCCGGCTCATGAGAAGTCCTGGCGCATTCACGAGAGGCCTCCACTCCTCGCTCGACATCTTCGGGAACGCTGCTGCTATTAAACCGGCTTGGAGTCGGGATTAGCGGCGTAAGGCACTACCACGAGAGTGCAAGGTAGCCCCACCCATAATCACGTGATACATCTTCATACCCTGTATCCCTACACAGTGCAGACGAGGAACCCGTCTACATGAAGATGAAATGCCATGAGCTGGACCGTTCTGGTTAATATCAAACACCGGTAACAATATCTATGGGAAATTATTGCTAGTATCCAAAATGATGAAAAATAAGAATTGTTTTACATTATGAGACCTGCTTTGCCAGTAACAAGATATAGTAATAGGTTTTACCCTTTTAACTGGCACAAAAACTGACACCTTTATTCAAGGCATCATGTTTGCAATAACCACAACACAAGCAGTCAAAATGCCTTTTGGCGTCTTCTGGTCCAACACCAATGGAGACTAGGCTCTAAAGAAAAGCCGTCTCGGGTGTGGACCAATCAAATTCAAGGACAGTGGTATATTATTATCAGTTGTCTCTTTTGTTTGTATTTTGACTGCTTGTGTTGTGGTTATTGCAAGCATGATGCCTTGAATAAAGGTGCCAGTTTTTGTGCCAGTTAAAAGGGTAAAACCTATTACTATTACGATAAGAATTGGTTTTACCCTTTCTGGCAATAGAACAGGAGTTGTTAAGATGTTCAAACACCAAATAGAATCATTTTTTGCAAGGCATCCAAGTCTGCATTAACCACACGCACTTGTGGCATAACATGAAAACAAGCTCTCATAATAGAGGGCATTGTCTTTGAAACTGATTTGCCTACACCAGAGACAGCTGCCTTCTTTATTGTACGATTTTTGACCCCCGCCCCCCCCCCCCTTCGTCACACGGCGTCACAAAAAGTCAGTTCCCCCTCTCAAATATGACGTCACAAAGCTCTGCCCCCCCCCCCCCCAAAAAAAACATGCTTCAAATCGCTTTAAACTATTGCCATTGTAGTGCGTATTTAATTTGGCGCTGCACTCTGATGTTGTAGGAGAAACATTTATTAAAGAGTATATTTAATTAAGTAGAACGTGTTGTCTATATTCATTTAAAGTTGCGCATTTTGATGTGACGTCACATTTCTCAACCCCCCCCCCCCCCATCGTCACAAATGTCTGACCCCCTCCCCCCTAGGTGCGTGACGTCATTTATGGACGGCCCCAAAGACAATGCAAGTATCAGAACACTTAGAGCCCGGTTCCAGCAGTTATATCTTTGAAACCGTTTTGCCACGATCCAAAATTATGAAAATAAGAATGTTTTACCCTATATGGGTAAAATAAACCAGGCGTTGAGAAAGGGTAAAAACCTATTCTCATTTATCACCGATAACAATAATAATATTGATACAGTATTTGTGTACCTCTAAAGGCCACTGTGATATTTGACGAATGTGTTGAGCGTGCACCACTGTTGAGCGTGCACCACTGCACGCTCAACGCAGCAGGTATAGTTTGTACAACAACAGTAGTAACAACAACAACAATGTTTGTACTCCGCCACTGAACACCACGGATTCGCACGCAGCTCTCCGTGTTCCGACACAACGAGAAGAAGTTCCACTTCTTCCTCTTCTTCCTCCTCCTCCTGGGGCGCGTCCCGGTTCGTACCTCACAGGTGGCAACCCGAGTCGCAGGTCCCTCGGCTCCAGGCGGTTGAGTTCGACTCCAGCCCTCGGCTTTGGAGGGAGCTGCGGGCTCCACGCGGTGCCGGGAGACTGGGGAGGGGGGGGAGCCGAGGAGGAGTCCACGGCCCCGAGTCCAACCGTGGCTCGGGCAGCTGCTGGGGGGCGAACTCGTGCCGCGTGGTACCCACGCACAAATCTGTCAAAACTTCACCATTCCCCCCTCCCTGTAGGCACGCCGACTTTTTAACCCCCACCCACCAATCCTATAGAACGGCCAATATTTAATCCACGCAGAAACGATCAAGGATGAGCAATATTAACGTGTTCACACAAACAGATAGTCCACCGCCGGCTGCATTACAGAATGAAGTTGCGTACCTTGGCCACTTTATTTTGCTGAGCTGCGTGATAGCTGCAGTCAGGGGGGGGCACGGTGGCACACAAGTGACACCTCTCCCACAATCCCACTTCTCCCGCTAGTACTTGTTGTCTGACAGCTGAAGAAACTGCACTGTGGCTTATTTGAAGGCCTATGCGTGAGTACAATGTCAGTAGACCCCCCACACGCAAGCGAACGCATTTGGGTTAACCCCCCCCTCCCCCCTCCATGCGTACGTACTGAATGGATGGCCCCCTACCCACGCACTAAGGCTCACCTGGGCTACCCCCCAAGCGCTACCGTAATTACAAGGGCGGTGCGCAGCTGTGCGCGTTACCATGATGACCAGGTGATGCTCATTGCAGGCCGGCATGTCCGCATTGTGCGGCTCTGTGATTCTTGAGCCCGTATAACTTTGGGCAGAGCCGCGAGACGCCCTAACCGAGTTGTAACGCTAAGATACGAACGTGACACGTCAATGGCCGTCCGTATTCATGAGTCACGACTCAGCTCTGGCTTGCCCCCACCCGCCTCCCCCTCTCGGTTGCTTTCGACGGCAGAAAAGTAAGCAGCTCATCCTTGGCTCTGGCCCAACTTATGTGAATATTGAGCATGCTTGTGACCCATACTCGAGAGCTGGCTCCAGCATGGCTGAGCCAAGCCCGAGACAGGTTTCACTATTCCGAATTAAGTATGAAATCGCGACTCAAGTGTTTTACCCGTAACATAGCCTTATTCTGGCTCTATGAATCTGGCGTTACCGTAGTCTTTCTTGATGTTATAATTTGGCTCTGTTGATAGCAGTGAAGTCTAGAAGTAACCTCAATATTTCCACGTCCAATCGTGCACCGAGCTTTGACAATGAGTGGACACATTCCACCACGAGGCGAGTCTGGTGGCTCAGCGGTAGAGCCAGTGGGCCACAATCAGCAGAGTTCACATCATGGTTGGAAGTTGACTCAGCCTATCGTCCCTCGGACCTTTTAAAGTTTCCACACAAGAGTATGTCGTAACTTGCTGACCCACCCATACCGGACATCTGTGAAAGTTTCATAGCTTATTGGATTCTTCCAGTCTAAATATTCTGATTCTGAGGCCTGCACACGCAGAGAGTTGAGGCATGTGCATCGCTGCTGGATAGCCAACAGATCATAGCAGTCCACCAGTGGACACGAGCATTTATTAGTTTAATTGGTATACAAATAATCCATTAAGTTAAAGTCTTAACTTATTTAAATAAATAAAAACAATAAAATAAGTTTTCATGTCAGCAAGAGCCTGGCGTTTCAGCCAACTGGCTTTTTCACAAATGTATGCTTTACATGATCGGAATTAAGAAAAACACACCAAACACCATCAGCCAACAAGCAAACAAGGCACTTCAACATTTTCCATTTTTATTTTTCAAATTCTTTTAACAAATGCACGTGGCATCGGTACTCCACTGCTCGATGGCACTCGGGGTTTTCCGCTCACAGGCGGAATCTCCGCTCACTGCCCGAAGCAACATCCCGCGTCAGAGTACAACGCGGACACTGTTGTGTGCACGCGCGCGTGATGCTTACTCAGCGTGGGTTTGGTGTACACAATGGTTTGGTATACACAATGCGCGAGTACGTGGCCACGCAGGCCCACCTGAGCGTTCGTTCACGTACTCAAACGCACAAGCACGCGCTTACACGAGCGAGCAAACGAGCGAGCGTTGGGGGTGGGGTGAGCGATCGGGTGGGTGGGTGAGTGAGCGAGCGAGTCATCATCGGGCTGGAGCCTAAGCGTCGGCGATGGTGACCTCCACTTCGACGCCCGGCTCGATGCTGATGGAGGTGATCTGCTTGACGATCTCGGAGGGGCTGTGCAGGTCGATGAGCCGCTTGTGGATGCGCATCTGGAAGCGATCCCACGTCTTGGAGCCCTCACCGCACGGGGTCTTGCGCGTTGTGATGCGCAGCACCTGCACAAAGCAGCGACGTCATCACCACCATCACCACCACCACCACCATCGCTGTCGTCATTATCACCAGCCGTGAACTATCCCACCGCCGAATGTGGAGACCTCCCAAAACCATCGCCAGCTTTCACGGGAGGGGGATATGTGTTCCCGATTCTCAGAACAATCCGATCTCAAGTTTTGTTCCGCGTAGTTTTTTGCACGGTGAAACCAAACCTTGCACTTGTTCCAGACACCCAGACATAGTCTTATAAAGCAGAAGCAGAGAAGTTGTGCAACCAGAACTGCAAAGACCGACTATCTGCCTGGAAGAAAAAAAATAATACATGGAAAGTGGATAAATCAAGCAAGAAGAAATCAGCGAGCAACTGGTGCAGGAGGCCCCACCTTGGTGGGCATGCGGACCGGTCCCTTCACGCGAAGGTTCTTGTCCTTGGCGCCACGGATGAGGTCGGCGCAAACTGCGCAGCAGAGGGAGACGCCCCGGGGAGAGAAATTATTAAGACAGCAAAACGCAGTTATTGCCAATAAAGTGAGCGCACCGCACACACCTCCTCGCACCTGCGCAAGTTAACATTGTACATGTACGGCCCTCTTGTCACTCCACCACTGGATCAGACCGTGCGAGTTATTTGACCATACTTCAACGTCAACCACAGGTCACTGGGTTCATAGTGCGGCATGCTGTGGCACCACGGAACATGTTCCTGCAAATAATTATCACGAGTCGAGCGCCTATCGGTGAATGCAAGCACCCACTGTAATAGACGAATCAACATTTCGTTGATTGGCTTCCCACAAAGCGGTAACCATTTAATCGGCCGCGGAGGGATGATAAGTCGGCACACACGAGCGGTGGGGGGGGGGGGGGGGTGTTTGGCTCAGAATAGCGTATAGGTGAATCACTGTGAATCATAACTGTCGTTTGTCCTCATCGCCAAACGCCGCTCGCTATTACCGCGTCAACTCTGCTAACCGTGTTAACAACACCTTGTGAGACTAACGATCCCCTGTTCAAATGTTACCATTGTTAGAAATACCTGTAATAAAGATGTAATTTTTTCTAGATACCTGTCAACACTACCCGTTTCTAAAGACACCTGCCTGAGCACTCTGGATTCTGGCTTAATGCTACCTTCAATGTTACGTTTTCGAAAGTTACCAGCGCTCTGATGTTGTGTCAATTGGGAAGCACCAAAACAATGTGTTAACTGGTGAGTGGCGTCAGGTGAGTCCATTGCTGGCGAATGGAGGATCAGGTGAGTATATAGTATCATGTCACACAATTTATAGGACGGACTGCCCACCAGTAAAAAAATAAGAGGGTCACACTACATGGGGATGTTTGGCCATGAATTCCATTAGCGGGCGCGTTTGGCTTCATATCCACAACTCAACGCTCCGCACAGATGGATTCAAGCATCCACGGCCACTCACCCTTCTCCAGAGACTTGACATTGCGGCTCGTGAGGGTGATGCGGATGCGATGGATGGACACCTCCGAGTCCACGGGAGCCTTGCCTGCGTCTTTGTATGCCTGGCGAAGTCACACACACACACGGGTTACACACTACTGTATATCCAACACATAACATCATACATGTACAGCAAGACGGCCCTTGCCTATGAACACCCGGGAGTACTCCAGCATTAGTTCAAGTAAGCCTAACTGCTGATGCGACGACGAATCCCAAAAACAGGCCCAGTTTGCTCGCATTAATCCGAAGCTGCTTAAATTATGCATTCCCAGACGCCTGGGAATGCATAATGTATCAATTATTTATATTCATGTCGAGAGGCGAATTTGGGGAAGGTTACACTTCTGCACAGCTGGGGAGATTAGTCCGTTAAGTAAACTAAAAATACAACACAGTAAAGCACTTTTAAACTTATCAGCTCGTTTCTGTGCATGACGCCAATCATATATAATTGTATTTGAATAATTGAATAGATTAATTCATGTTAATTGCATCCCACAACGCTTGACAATAATTCAGTGGTTCTTAACCTTTACTGCTGCAGCCTTGCATCCCTTTGGTTCTAAATCGTAAAAAAAATATACGTAGGTTTGATGAAACAAAGTTGTAACTTAACGTGCCGAATTTGCGTTTCGATTGATTTACCTTCGAAAACAAAATGCGGCCATGCCTCGCACCCCCAGAAAGGGAATCTCGCACCCCCCAGAGTAAGAACCACTACAATAATTGTACCCAGGGGCCGAACGATACAAAGAGCTACGACAAATAAAATGAAAACCGACGGAACTTAAAAGTAAAAAAAAAATAGCACAAAACATTTATAGGAACACAAAGTTGTCAAATCCTAGACCAAACTTTGGATCTTCTTGTTTATCCCACACATCATTTTATCGACCGCGGCAGGGGATGATGGATGTTCGGGTCGATTGAACACGCGTGCTGTAGTTGGGTGCGTTTGGCTCAGAATAGCGTATAGGTGAATCACCGTAAATTCATAGCTGTGGTTTGTCCTCACAGCCAAACGCCGCTCGCAACCACCAACGGGTTAACGTATCCCTTATATAAACATATATATTTTTTAAAAACCGCGGGGAGAAAGCGCGCCTCTTAACAACGCCTGCTGCCCAGGGTTCGCGTCGCAACAGAGGCACGGGGCTCCGGCCATCCTAGCAGCGCGCACGCCGCTAGGCCGCAATGGCGGACACATTCGTTAAAATTCAACACCGCCACCACGTCAAACTTCCACCGCTCGATACACCGAACACCTTTCGAGGCGATCGCGAGTGTGCTGGGAACGTGGCGAGAGACGCTCACCATCGTGACCGCCGGCCGACGTATTCGTCACAGACAATGAGGCGAACTCTTTGAAGCGACGAACAGCGGTGAGCCGGGGACGCTTCTCGCGCCTCGTGCCGCTGAGCGCGGGGGGCTGCTTGGGAAAGGGGCGGCGTCACGTGACGCGGCGGCTTTTATAACGAAGGGGGATGGGGTGGTGCGGGGAGGAGGCGGGGCAGCCAGGGGTTCCGTGACATCACCGCGCAACGTAGACAGGCGGCGGCCATCTTACGTGAGGGTACGGGAGATATGGGGGGGGGGAGGGGGAGTCAAAAAAGTGTTGGGTGCCGCGGCCATCTTACGTGAGGGTACAAGCGATGTGGGAAGGATCACCGGTTGTTGGGCACCGCGACCATCTTACGTGAGGGTACGGGAGATATGGGGGGGGGGAGTCAAAAAAGTGTTGGGTGCCGCGGCCATCTTACGTGAGGGTACGGGAGATGGGGGGGGTCTTTGGTTAAGAGTGTTGGGCGCCGCGGCCATCTTACGTGAGGGTACGGGAGATTGAGGCGGGGCGGTCATCGGTGAAGAGTGTTGGATGCCGCGGCCATCTTACGTAAGGACTCAGAATGGGGACATTTATTTAGACTGCAGGAGGAAATCCGATGAGCTGTGAAGCTCTTTGCCACAGATGTCAAATGCGGCTCTGGTGAAAGGAGTCGCAGCACGCAGTGAACGGAACGGAGACTGATGGCCCCCACCAAACGCAAAATCATAATATTTAAGAACACTCGTGGAGGAATCTGATGAGCTATAAGGCTCTTTTTTCACAGATGTCCAGTAGGGGGCAGGTAAAAACTTTGCAACAACAAATGATACAAACTACACAATTGGAGTGCAAAGCACAGGAAAGGTAAACAAATCACTTAAATATACATACAAATAAAAAGACACTTTTTTATGACCAGGTAAAACCCACTGAGCTATTAGCTTATTTTTCAGAAGCGACCTGTCGACAAATGATAGCTCAACGAAGTGGCTTATCATGTGGACATTTATAGCAGCACCTCAAAATACTTGTTATAATAATATGTTGAACATCTTTCGCACCTTCTTCTTTGGTTCTTTCGGTAAAGTCACGTAGATAGGTTCAAATAAAATAACAAAAAACATAACCCCCTCTTCCTGATGACGAACGCTTGTGTTGTGAATGAAACGTCGTAGTTTTTTGTTATTTTCTTTTAACCCATCTACGTGACTTTACCGAAAGGCCCAAACAATATGGATTCCTGCAGTCACGAAAGCTTTATGTCAAGGATCAAATAAACTCAACCTCGAATGACACATTCGTCTGTAACACCAACTGAAAAGGGGGGGAGTTTATTAAAGTATATCATAAACAACGTTTCGGACAACGGCCCGAATTCAGAGCATAACATAAAACTAAATGGCTGTACTAGCTGCTTTATTTTCAGTGCAATAAAAACATGAATGGGACTGCGTTGACGAACAAGCACACGTTTAAACGGAACATTCCCGCCGTGAAACGTATTACAAAGTACAGGAAAGGTAAACAAATCACTTAAATATACATACAAATAAAAAGACACTTTTTTATGACCAGGTAAAACCCACTGAGCTATTAGCTTATTTTTCAGAAGCGACCTGTCGACAAATGATAGCTCAACGAAGTGGCTTATCATGTGGACATTTATAGCAGCACCTCAAAATACTTGTTATAATAATATGTTGAACTTCTTTCGCACCTTCTTCTTTGGTTCTTTCGGTAAAGTCACGTAGAATGAGAATAAAATAATAAATTGATAAAATAAAATAACACAATAAAATTCTCACGACGTTTCGGCCACAACACAAATTCTTTCGCACCGTACGGAGCCAACCGTGCAAAACAGAGGTGCGGGGGAAGGACAACAAGCTAAACACGAAAAGCAGTTCTAAAGAAATGAGTTTTCGATCTAAATTTCAAAGCACAAAGCTCCAGTGGCTTCCTAATATCGGAAGGAATCCAGTAACAGCCCCATTTACGTTCCCCCTTTTACGTCGTTTCGCAAACACGTCGTCACTTTATTAATGCCACTACCTGATTTGCGTCACCGCAACCCACATTTACGTCGCTGACAGCATTGTGTGTCCTTTCTCGTATGCGTCACCTCTCAGTCTTCGCCTCCACGACCCACCCTTCTAGAATGGCTTTGATTTACGTCGTTTCGATATTCGTCATCTCACCTTTTAGGGACGCATTCCCGACGTTGACCCGGGGTATTACTGCATAAGCAAAGGCGCCAACTCCTGCAGTTTCACCGATATGTTTATGTTTTCACTTTTAAGGAAGGAAATTAATTATACAATCAAATCGTATAATTTCTGCTCATTCACAGCTTGGTCAACTCCCTTCACTGCCCCCTCCATCACTTCCCCATTAAACCAAAAACACAGAACACAGAGCTTACTTGCGCGTGTGCCTAACCTCTTCTGGCGCCTCCTGCTCCCACATGTGTTTATGTCACTGTTAGATTAGCACGGTCGGCTACGTACGGTGCGAAGGAAGTTCAACAGCTTACGTGCACCTGCACCTAACTTTTTTCCGCATTACATTTACACTGGTTTTGGCTCGCGTGTGTTTCCTTTTGGGCTGTCAAATACCTCGTTTGGTAGTTGCGCAATATTCCCTAAAGATCCTTGTCTCGTTCTCTGCAATATATTTTTTTGTCTTTGTTGTTGTTGATGCTGTGCTCACGCACCACGGGATCTCCGTGGTGCGCGAGTCCTTTCGCACTCACAACTGACGCCCCTGTCATTACCTCCCATGGCCATCAGTCCCTTCGCACTCACAACTGACGCCCCTGTCATTACCTCCCATGGCCATCAGTCCCTTCGCACTCACAACTGACTCCCCTGTCATTACCTCCCATGGTCACCAGTCCCTTCGCACTCACAACTGACTCCCCTGTCATTACCTCCCATGGCCATCAGTCCTTTCGCACTCACAACTGACTCCCCTGTCATTACCTCCCGTGGCCACCAGTCCCTTCACACTCACAACTGATGCCCCTGTCATTACCTCCCGTGGCCACCAGTCCCTTGGCACTCACAACTGATACCCGTGTCATTACCTCCCGTGGCCACCAGTCCCTTGGCACTCACAATTGATACCCGTGTCATTACCTCCCGTGGCCACTAGTGCATTCGTACTGAAAGCTGGCCTCCCTGTCATTACCTCCCGTGGCCACCAGTCCCTTGGCACTCACAATTGATACCCGTGTCATTACCTCCCGTGGCCACCAGTCCCTTCACACTCACAACTGATACCCGTGTCATTACCTCCCGTGGCCAGCAGTCCCTTTGCACTCACAACTGATACCCGTGTCATTACCTCCCGTGGCCACCAGTCCCTTCACACTCACAGCTGATACCCGTGTCATTACCTCCCGTGGCCACCAGTCCCTTGGCACTCACAACTGATACCCGTGTCATTACCTCCCGTGGCCACCAGTCCCTTGGCACTCACAATTGATACCCCTGTCATTACCTCCCGTGGCCACTAGTGCATTCGTACTGTAAGCTGACCTCCCTGTCATTACCTCCCGTGGCCACTAGTCCCCTCCCACCGCATGCAGGCTCCATTGTCATTACACAAGAATAATATCCTTACACGTACATACATGGAAACGGGATCATTCGTGTAACGGATCAAATAAATATTCTTTGGGTCTTTAGGTAAAGTCACGTAGATAGGTTCAAAGAAAATACCAAAAACATAACCCCCTCTTCCTGATGACGAACGCTTGTGTCGTGATTGAAACGTCGTAATTTTTGTTATTTTCTTTTAACCCATCTACGTGACTTTACCGAAAGGCCCAAACAATATGGATTCCTGCAGTCACGAAAGCTTTATGTCAAGGATCAAATAAACTGAACCTCGAATGACACATTCGTCTGTAACACCAACTTAAAAGGGGGGGAGTTTATTATATACTTTATATCATAAACAACGTTTCGGACAACGGCCCGAATTCAGAGCATGACATAAAACTAAATGACCGTACTAGCTGCTTTATTTTCAGTGCAATAAAAACATGAATGGGACTGCGTTGACGAACAAGCACACGTTTAAACCGAACATTCCCGCCGTGAAAAGTATTACCATTGCGCTGCAACAACAACAAAAAGAGCACACATTTATACATAGTACAACATTTCAGATCCTCCTCCTCCTTCGTGTCGCTTGTCGAAAACGTTCGTCCCCAAAATATTGACTTTTCCCCGAGTAACACAGCGGGCACGTTGTGCTTGTTATTCCGTGCTGCGTTATACGCAATCGGATGAGTGTGGCTCGATTCCAAAGCGCGATTTGATTCAGAGGGTCGCACGAAGTCTGTCCGCTTCAGCTTGCCTCCTCTGGTCATTAACAATCCTCACGGCAACAAACAGAGGCGCGACGTCACGAGTAATCGCATCCTAGCTGCGCGCACAATGCGACGTGCATTCGTATAATGAGGCGGTGTCTGAAAATTCAGCAGCTTCAACTGTGGGTGCAGCTTTCATGCACCAAAAATAAACTATGCCTTAGGGGCCGTCCGTAAATGACATCACGCGATTTTGGACGATTTTTGACCCCCCCCCCATCCATCATCATACGGCGTCACAAAAAGTCAGACCCCCCCCTCAAATGTGACGTCACAAAGCTCTGCCACCCCCCCCCCCAAAAAAAAGATATAAAACATGCTTCAAATCGCTTTAAACTATTGTGATTGTAGTGCATATTTAATGTGGCGCTGCATTCTGATGTTGTAGGAGAACAGATTGATTAAAAAGTCTATTTAATTAAGTAGAACGTGTTGTCTACATTTATTTAAAGTTGCGCATTTTGATGTGACGTCACATTTCTCAACCCCCCCCCCCCCCTTGTCACACATCGTCACAAATGTCTGACCCCCCCCCACCCCCAGGTGCGTGACGTCATTTATGGACGGCCCCTTAACCTAAACGGAGCAATGAGTCTGACGCGTCTTTGACGTGTCTTAAAAAAAACTGTTTCTTTTATTTCTTAGTTGCACAAAAAGAACGCTTTCCAAAGTCACATCTCGTTTTTACTTAATCACGTTATCGCACATGGTCATAAGACTGTGTCCACTCGCTCCATTTTAGGGTCCTCTTGCTGGCTTCGGTTTTACT